CAATTTTCTTGGAATGATCTTCCTAAACTGTCTTTAGGAAAACTTTTGTTGGGAAAATCATTTGAAGAAGGTTGAGAAGGATCATTTTTCAAAAATAAATCAATAAGCTTAGGTACGAGATCATTTAAGTGACTAAAAACTACCGGATCATTTCAAAATCTTAAAACTAAAATCAACTCAGTTAGCAAAAATCTATTTAATACCAATTTAATTATTCATACTTTCATTATCAATTGATTTGTTTTCTGTAATACTGCTGAAATCACCAACATCAAGTAAATTTATAGTATTTATCACTAAAATTAAGTAAATCAGTATTATTTGGTGATTCTTCTTCCATTTCAAAATTCAAAGAAACATTTGTACCTGTATTCAAATTTAAAAATTATATTTAGTAATTTATACTATTTTTTGTTCGATTAATCTATAGATCGACAGCAGTCATCTAATTTTAAAAAATATATAAAGCCTATTTCATAATTTATTAAATAAATAATAAAATAGTTATTGTATTATTGGATTATGCATAAAGTTAACATAAAAAAATATGAATTTTTACTGTAGTTAAATTATAGAAAACAATAGCATGACGTATATTTCTAATAATAAAAAAGCTATTGAGTAAAAACAACAATTGTCAATTTTACTTTCATTAAATTTAAAAAACTAGATTGTATACCTGTGGAAGCTGCTAAATTCACAACATTTAAAACATTATTTTGTTCCATAGAAGAATTAGTATTATGCCATCTAGTAACACTGTAACTATTGAATCAATTTGAATACCTAATAACAACATTTTTATATTCTTATAAATTCACTGGATATATAAAAATTAATGTTAATTTTGTAAACAATTGTTATAATATTGTTATATTGCTATATAATAGTTAAATTATTTATATTTTATTCTAAATAAAATAAATAGGAAATAATGGTGAATTAAAAAAACATTTCATTGCTTTTTAAGTTTAATACCATACTACAGTATAGTGGAAATCGGATTAATATTACATTAATTGTATATAAATTTAATACAATATACAAATAACCTTTCTTGATTTTAGCCTGAGGTTAGGTGTATTTATCAGCATTTGGTATAACATGGACTTTTTCGTCTTATCAGCTTTGGTTGTTGTTCTAAGCAGTGCCTCCTTTCTGCGTAATGTTGGTGGCAGAATATTAGTTAAGACTGGTAACCATTTGTCGGTGTGCTTTTTACTGTTCCACTAACTATTCTCATTGCGCTGTTGAGTTGTGTGTCTATTTTTTTCGTATGTGTACTGTTACACCAGACTTGAGCACCGTATTCTGCGGTACTGTAAACTAGGACCAACGTAGCTGTTCTTAGAGTCCTGTCATCTGCTCCCCAGCCCGTGCCGGCAAGTTTCTGTATTATGTTGATGCGCGAATGTAGCTTCTTCGTTGTTTTCTCAATGTGTTCTTTAATGGTAAGTGAGCGGTCGAGAGTAATTCCTATTACTTGGGTTTAAAACTGTGTTGGACTTGTAGTAAACCACCGAGTAGCTAACATCCGCTAACATTATATCATGTATTGATACTAATGTAGCAAAACCGAAACGGAAACCAATATCAATACTTACTCGTATTGATATGCAGTTTCCACGGAACAGAGCCTATTTTCAATATCACAGAAACAAGCTTCCTTGTTCACATCCGGCAGAATCCCCATCGACCTTACTCTTATCCTAAATGGCTGCCTATAAATACAGTATCCATTTACCCATACATTTAGAATAGTAGAATGAATTAAACTAGTGTTAACTAATTACTCTGCTTACTGCACCGACGCTCATCTGGTCGTGAAGCCCGCGCGCCTCACATCGCCGCCAGCTCTGAGAGTCAATCTTTATTATTCTCGGGCAGAGCTTAATTACTCTGTCCTCACACTTTTAATTATAAAATACTATCTTATTTGTATTAACCACATATTATATATATTTTATTTTATTCATTATTATACATATCGTTATAACTTTAAACCATCGTGTTTTGTCATTTAAACACCTTCCAACGACTCTACATCACAGACGTGAACCGTTCAAGTATTTATTCGTCAACGGTGTATTGCGTCGTCCTCTTGCAGAACGACCCACTACAGACTTGTACACCATTGAAAACCACCTCTAGTTCTTCATAGGCTTATTTATTATTTAAATGGAATGCACACATCTCCGTTTTCGTGGGGTTGGGTTTAAGTCGCCATTTATAGAAATAATCGCCTAGTGTAGCAAGATCGTCGTTTAATGTGTTGCTCCCTTCTTTTAATTCCCTGCTCTGGTGTACGATAGTGATGACGTCAGCATATTGGAACATAAGTCCTTTGGTTTTAGGTATATCATGCAGATAAAGGTTGAATAGGGTTGGTGCATGAACTGAACCTTGCGGGAGACCATTGTTTGCTGTGCGCCATTTGCTTCCTTTGCAGCCCATAAAAACCTGGTAGCGACGATTAGTTAGCATATTTTCTAGGAGAGTTACAAGGTTTTTACAAGGTATAGCTCTGCTAAATTTATACATAAGTCCGTGTCTCCAAACCGTGTCATATGCAGCAGAGAGGTCGACAAATGCAGCACTGGATTTTAGCTTGAAATCCAGCTTCTATTAGGGTAGTAAGCGCAAGTTCCTGTTCCTCACAACCTCCTCTCACAACGATCACCTGATGACCTTACGAACATTTTTCACATAGATCTACTTATAGTATTTTGCAGTATGACCTGTCGTATACGCCACCCAAAGGCTTGACATACGAGATACCAGATATATTTCGATTATTGAGTCTCAGGCCGTCAAAGAGTAAATATCGATACCTTTCGGTTAAAACTTATTACACACACTAGGATTTGATTCTCCCAATTTACTAGGAAAAAAATGACAAAACAAACATTTTATAGTTTAAAACCAAATTAGATTATAATAACTTCAAAGTCTGACAATAAAAGACACAATCTACTTTTAAATAAAAACTTGTCGTTAGCCGCGACACCCCGCAATCATTTATTTTTGCCTCGTATGTAATTTATTACTAACTATTAACTATATTAAGTTTCAAGCTATAATATTTTGTGATCATTCATATAAGGAATAACAGACCGGTTTATATTTTTTCAAAAACATTGGTTTTGAAATTTGAATTTGAAAATAAATAAATTTGAAATTCAGGGATTTTTTTGTTATTATGTTAATGACACTGTAGAGGTTGGATTGGAGAGAATTTTTCTTTTAGATGTTGGCATCAATGAATTTTGAAACTTCATTTTTATCTCTTATCAATGAGGAGAACTGACCTAAGCTCATCGCGGACGAGAATAAGCTGCTGCGGTCATTGTGATAACGATCGCTACAAATATTGCTCGATAATTCGACCGGCCAATTATCAAATCAATTAAGATAACTTTAACTAGTCTTCCATCACTCAGATACGATAAATTCGACATATTATACCTACAATAATACGTTATTGATATAGATGTCAGTGTATATTGTCGGCGATGCCGTGTTTCGCCAGTACGATTATATTCGTTATAGTCGTTGTACCTATGTGTTTTTGTCGCGAATTTGCCCGTTTTTTATTCTATGTTCTTTTTTGTGCTCTCACTGACGTTCGCCAATATTGAACATTGTCGTGGGGTCACTGTATACTTTCGTATCATGTCGGAAACTGAGACAGAAATTAGTACTCAAGAACAGTGGCGCACACTCAAAAATGAATAGGAGTAGCATATTAAATGGAAAAATAACACCCACCCACTAAATCACTTTCAAAAACAGACCCACGGGGGCTTCGCCCTCACACACCCCTAACTAGAATTCTCTAAACTTGTTCAAGATTTAATAATAAATAAAAAATAAAAGTATTGAATGTTAATAAAATAAAATACAGGTTCTCGGTAGTTATTAGTTTTTATTGATTATTGTAAGTCTTAATAATTATGCACACTTGGAGTAAACATCAAACTTAAATTAATATAATAAAGCCTTTTGCAATAAGCTACTATTATTTGAAAATGTATTAATTGCAGTATCTGTGTCAATTTTAATATCATTTTCACATGATAGTAATATTAAATTTTTTAACCGACTTTCACACATGGTACTACGAAGTTTGTTTTTAATAATTGTCAATTTAGAAAAGGTTCTTTCGGGTTTCTTTAGTTTTTATTACACGTAGCACGTTTAAACCGTTTTATCAATAGAATAACGAACCGTTGTAAAGGCTTGCCTATTTTAATGTCCCTGAATAATTATTATTATAGTTTATGTAGATATAGGTACAATTGAATTGATATCCTCATATAAGTCATGTGACTTCGGCTACCCAAACCACCCACCTCTAAAAATGCAAAGGCCATGGCTTCTCAAAAATCTCTTCAACACGCCACTGTACGTAGTAGATTTATTATGATGTAGTCATGTAGATGTAGATATTTTGGGGCCAGGAGGACCACCCACCCACCCAATTTTTCAGGGGTAGCAGCTGCTACCCTTGAACCCTCCAGTGTGCGCCACTGCCCAAGAACGATTTTTTAAGAAGCTTATGGAATTGGCGAAAGGAAAGCACAATCATTATAATATCATTAAAAAAGATGCATAATATTTACTTCTAAAACAGGTCGAGGATGCGATATTAGCAACTAAAAAAAACATTTACTCAGTATAGAAGGATGAAATGGTTTAATATTATAGAATTTGGTGGTACAAAAAAATTGGTAACCCGCCGAGATCCAGTTAAATTTTATTTGCCGGTGGAAGACATTTTTAATGTCATTGATTTGTCACACATCGCTGTAGGACATGGAGGAAGAGATAGTCTAAAGGTTGAAACTTAAAGGAAGTACGTCAACATCACCACTGACATGATAAATATTTTTTTGTCTCTCTGTGAAACGTGCTAAAAAAAGAAAAAGCTAGGAAAGAAAGGACTCGTTTCGAAAACAATTTTTGAGTTTAATAGTAAATGTCAAATAGATTTGATAAACATGCAGTCGCAACCCGATGCACAGTTTAGGTTTATACTTAACTATCAGGATCATCTGACAAAATTCGTTCTGCTTCGCCCCTTGCAAACCAAGCGTGCAGAAGAAGTTGCAAGCCATGTATTAGATATTTTTTTAACCTTTGGTGCTCCGATTTTTCTGCATTCAGAAAATGGAAGAGAATTCGTTAACAATGTAATTACAGAGTTCACAGCGCTATGTCCAAAGTTAAAAATCGTGCTTGGAAAGCCTAGACATTCACAAAGCCGAGGCTCCATAGAGCGTGCTAACCAAGACGTGGAGCGAATTCTCGCTTCCTGGATAACAGATAATAAATCAACTAATTGGTCTATCGGATTAAAGTTCTTCCAATTTATAGGATATAAATTATATAGAGCACACCACGCCGGGATAAATATGACGCCTTATAAAGCAATGTTTGGGGTTAATCCAAGAGTGGGGCTTGTAACCTCTAACCTGCCCAATGAATTGATTGCTACTATAAACTTCGAGGATGAACTTGAAAATCTCATAAGTACTGTAATTACAAGTGAAAATATGATTGGACAGAAAGCTGCAGGTAAAAATTTTTATTTTTATTTTTTAAATTATAGTTATTAAGTTTAGGTACCATTAATGTTTATTTCACAGTAATTTTTTTTATAGCGGTTAAAATAAATGATTTATTTAAGTATTTTATAATATAAATACTGCCTATATTTTTCGAAAACTTTCAAATTATTTTTTAGTACAAAAATTTTAAAAATTTTAACTTTAATAGTTAAGGATTGAAAACTTAAAACAAAGATTCTTACAAATAGTTCATACTGTGACCAACAAATCCAATAAATACATAAACATGGTATATTTCTTTGATAAGTTTCAGATACCATAGATGCAATTAGAAAAAAAGCTCATGCCAATTTGGAAAAACAAGCAACTCAAATGATGACTCGATCCGAAAACAAATTTCCTGCGGTTGAAGTTGGTGTCAACGTTGACACGGCCTCAAGTCGTTAATAGGATTTCCCTCGGTGAGGTGGCCGGTCAGAGTTGAATGAATGGTTTAACCAAACCAAAAAAACAAAAGAGGAGAGAAACCACAGAAAAAGATATGACTATCAATTTATTTATTTGTTTCAAAAATGTTAGAAACAAAAAAAATATGTGGTTCTCTGGTGATGGTGGTGGAATCGGTGTCGATGTTGACCGGTTTGGTGTCCGTCGAAAGATGTGCCTCGTCCGTAGACACCGCCCGTCGGCCGCTGGTGCGCTACCTTATCGGCATCAAAAGCTTTCCCCCTCTGCCCGGTGTCCGAGGTAGGCAGGAAAGTTGGTGCGATATTATCGCCACCCGGGATGTGGCTGGAGAGAAGCTAATGCGGTGCGCGGTGTCGGTGTACATATTGTACCTATGACATCACGGTACCGCATTAACGTAGTAATCCGCATTCCAGATGTTGACAAAGGCAAAACCGATCATTGAAATATCATCGGAATAGTGTTAGAAAAAACAGAGTACGATCTATATAGAATCAGATGTAAGGATGGAATTCTAGAAAAACTTTATTGTAGGTGCGTCCATTATCAACTTTTTATTTACTAAATAAAATAAAATTAGATATTAATGAGTAATCAGTAAAAATTGTTTCAGGTCTGAATGTACAACATGTGAAGAAAAATTCATCACAGGGAATAAAGTTCCGAAAAATCATATTTCCCTCCGTGCAGCTGTAACAAAAGCATCAACGGGGTCAGTGCAAGGATTTGTAAAATGCACATGTAAAACATCCTGCAGAACAAATCGTTGTTTATGTAATAAAAATAAAATTCTATGTAACTCTAAATGCCACGATAGTTTATCATGTCAAAATAAATAATACAATAAATGTTTATATTTAATATGTACTTATATTTCTACATTTCCCTAGTTAAAACTAGTTTTACTTATCAATAAAACAATACGAATTTTCACTAGATAATTCTAGTTTTCACTACTATATTTTAGACACAACTAATTGTAACTAAATAATAATAAGTTTAAACTAGTTTTGACGATGATGGGCTTAGTAAATTCTAGTTTTTACTAGTTAAAACCAGAATTGACTAAAGGGATTTGTGAAAACTATTTTTGACTAGTTAAAACTAGTTTCGACAAATTTCGGGTTTTAACTGTAACATTAACACTATTGCTAAGCTGGTTTCACGCTATTCGTTTCTATCGCAAGCGAACGCGAATTTTAAAAACGCACGTGCGCAATACCAAAATAAACTGCAGTGGTTAAATGTATGTTTTCATACTACAGAAAATATTTCCTAAAAAATAGTTCGATCGCATGTAATCGGACAGGTTTAATTTCGAACGCGTTCCGCATCCCAAGATTAAATTTTATTATTGAAAACGGTAACTTTATTTGTGGAGTGGTTGATGATGGAAGAAAAAATATTTTCCAATGGTCAATTTAATAAATAGGGTTGGGATTTCGATGCACTTTGCATTGTTTTTCAAAGCTAACTGTGCAATGCTCGTTTTGTCACAAATTTGTTTTATGTACATTTGAATGAGAATAAGAAAGTTAATTTTGCATTTTTTGGCATTATTTTGTTTTTAGGTCATTTTCTTAATTTTTTAGGGTATTTAGAGTTTTTGGAGCATTTTTTTGAGTTTTTGGAAACCAAATGCATGAATTTGAAATTTTATTTTAAGATTTTTACACCAACATGGTTTCTAAATAAATATAACAGATTATAAGTAGGTACTCGTAATTCGTATTATATTATCGGTTTGTCACCATATCGGACAATAACCTCTACCCGCATTTCCTGTTAAATAATCTTCAATCGGTAAAATCGACGTCTGATGATATCGTTCGACGTTCAGTACGAGTTTTGTCGTGGTTAACACCGTTTTATTACTCAGGTTAATTTTTTTTGTTAATTTAATATAAAAATGCCAAAAATAAAATGTTCGACAGCGAGTCGACTGCGTGCGTTTGTACAAGAATTTGGACATAATATTTTTTCTACCGACGGATTGGTGTTATTCTGTAAAATATGCAACATAAAAGTTACTGCTGAAAAACGATTTGCCGTACAACAACATTTGTCAAGAGATAAACACATCAATGGAGTAGAACGGAGTAAATTACAAAACGAAATAAATAATACACAAAGTTTTATTACAGACGTACCAAACAGGTCGGAATATTTTTTAGATTTAACTCGTACATATTTGTCATGTAATATTTCATTAAATAAACTCGAAAATCTTGCGTTTTCTAAATTTTTGGAAAAATATACCAATAAACAAACGCCTGATCGCTTCACATTACGAAAAAATTACGTCAGTATATGTTACGATGAAACTATACAGATGATTAGGTCATACGTAGAAAATAAAAAATTATGGGTTTCTATCGATGAAACGACGGACGCCAATGGTCGTTATATTGCCAATATTATAATAGGTACATTAGAAGTAGGTAACATAGGTAAAATGTTTTTATTAAATTCAGAAGTATTAGAAAAAACCAATCACAATACAATTGCCAAAGTTTTGGAAGTCTTTATCAATATTATGGCCACAAGGAATAATACACGATAATGTCCTTTTATTTTTAAGTGACGCTGCTCCGTACATGGTAAAAGCAGCCACATCGATTCAAACTTATTATTCGAAAATGATACATGTTACATGCTTGGCGCACGCCTTGCATAGAGTTGCCGAAGAAATAAGAATACATTTTCCAAATGTTGACGAATTGATAAATAACTACAAGAACTTACTGGCAGACAACAGAATATCATTTTTATTTGAAAATCTGAAACAAGCTCTCGTGGTTCAGTGTAATAGTTCAGAATGTACAGGTAAATAAATATACGATCTAAACGTATTAAATAATTTATAAAAATATTTTTTGTTCAGATTGAACGAAGTCCACGTCTATGGGATTAAGTCTATGTATACAACATTTTTTTTAGATTTATACTAAAACTATGCATTTACAGTTTACTCTTGTAATAGATTTTTATAATACATTTTTTAAAACTTTTTATTGTAATTTATACTAAAATTATTAAAAATAAAAAAAATTTTAGTTCATAAAAACATTTTTTAAGGGCATTTTTCGGGTTTTTTTAGGGCATTATTTAGAGTTTTTAGGTCATAAAAGCATTTTTTTTAGGACATTTTTCGGGGTTTTTTATGGCATTAAAATCCCAGCCCTATTAATAAGGTATCTATAAGTTTTAGGTACCCTTCACAAATTGAAAATATGCATCGACTTATGTTTTACAAAACCAACTTGATTAAGATCTGGGAACAAAACTTTTCAAGTATAGATGGCAAACCATCTCAATGCTTTAATATAATTGCAAACAATTAAATATTTTTTTGTTTTTGTTTTTTGGTTTTATTTAGTTTTATTTGACAAGATAATACCTTTGTATAAGTATAGGTACCATATTTTTTGTACTTAGGAATATAACTATGTATTTTGAAAGAAACAGTATTTATCATCTGTGCTTCCTCACTTTAACAACTGCATAAAGTACCTATTGCCTATTTAAATTATTACCAGTGACTGTTAGTAAACCAATTTTAATCAAATATATGTTGTTTCATTGATTATAAATATTATAGATAGCTCACTGCAATACAAAATATGCTGCGTAAGAAACTTTTGCCGATAGAGGGCGATAAGTAATTTTGTCAATTATAATGGAATAAAATAATATTATTTTTAATCGTTGCTAAACGTCGGCGGTCGGTCCTCGGTGAGACGTAAATAGTACTATTTATAATCAATGGTATTGACATTGGTTATAAATAATGAGGACCCGCATTGTTTTGTCACTGTCGTAACACACTGTACACACGTAATAGTACGTTGTAACCAGTTTTAATTAAAGGTGTGTTGATAGTTTTGATATTAAATTGAATTTAAATATTAATATTCTACATACTCATAACTAGTCATAACTACTTACTATTTCGAAATATACTTATATTATCATGAAAACATAATTAAATAAATATTAAAACATTTAAAACATTTTTTTTTTTAGTATCACAATATATTACAATTAATTATTTGTTTTGTAGTATTCTCAATTTAGGCTGTTGTTTTGTAGATTTACAAGTTTTTTGTACACATTTTTTTTTGAAAAAACACAAGGCAGTAAACGGTTATCGAATTAAATATACACAAATTCAACCATTAGACGGCTGTTGAGTGTTAGCTGTATTAATCATTTATTTTGTACCAAGACAAACATTAAATACCTTAAAAATAGTAACAAAATATTTCAATTCGTTCAAAAATAAACTACGATAATGGTCTTGGTGGTCGAGAGGGGCATTGAGAAAACTACATACATTATCCAAACAATAAAATAAATTGGTAAATCCATATTCCCTTTATTTTTCAATATAGTTTGTAACATTGATTATAAATAGTATTTATTTAAATACTATTTACAATCTATGTGAGTACCTATTTATATTGTACTTAAAATAATTAATATATTAATGTGAATATTTGATAACAATATGGCTAATTTATATAATATAATATTACATCGCTTATTTGTATTTTAAAATGTAACATGCTTATAATAATGTCATAACTAGGGCTCGGGACTTCTAGAAACTTGCATGATTTTAAATAATTATACAAAACATAGCTAAGTAATATATAAATTTGTTTCATTGCAATACAAGTTAATATTTAAAATTTATAGTTGCATATTTTGCATATTTGACCATTTTTCATTTATATGTGCATATTTGACCATTTTTCATTTTATAAATGCAAATTTGACAATTATTCATATGGAGAAGTAAGTTTTTAAATTTTATAAAAAAAAATTATGATTTATTTCTTCATATATCACGCGACTTGGAACTCTAAGTGTCTTATTGGTGAACTAACTGAATGCATTAAAATAATTAAAACTACAAAAAACGTATACATTCTGCAAAAATTGAAGAATCTGCACAAGCTAAGGCTAACTACAAA